CGATACTGCCGAAACGTCAGCTAGCGTTGTATTGTATTGTGTTTTCTTTATGGAAGTAAATGTATGCTGTTTAAAAACCTTGCGATTGCTGAACAAGAAAACGACACATTCATATCCCAATGCCGAGGTTAAGAGAAAGTCGATCTTGGGAACTTTTACTTTTGTTCAACACCACTCATTGTGCGGATCCCAACAATTCTTTCATTCGCGTTGATACCTCGCATCCGTATTCCACGAAGTTCTTCGGACTTTCTATTTGGGTTTACCTGCTGCTTGAGAATTTTTTCTCTTCTTTATGAATGTCGTTCAATTCTGACCAAGTCTATTCTCCTAGAATCCAGGCATAGATGTACTGAAGCATTTTCGGATCTATTATCGGATTTATCACATGCACGTGTCAGCTTTTATGGGTTGGAAGCGGGTTAATCGCAGAGGATGCTGACACCAATTTCCCGATCAACAAGCGATGGGGTTGAAGGAGTAAATCTACGCGTATTAAAGTAAAGCAGCGTTCCAGTCTTGATTTCGACCTTATAGATTGCCTCTTTTAACAATAATCATGTACTTTTTGAATCCGTGCTCTTCATCTCTCATCGATTCCTCTCACCACATGACAACTACTTCTTTGTTTCGCTTTAAATGTGTTGTACAATTCAATGTGTCATTAAGCAGGAATTTCTCTAAAAGTTGTAAACTGCAATGTACAGTTGGTTGTTGGGCATTCCTATTGTAGTGTAAACAAATATAAGAGAGTATCGAACCTCGGATCTTCTTCGAATGAAGTTTCTCGAACCACTTAGTTCCTAGGTTATGAACCTCGTGAGCAGCTAACGGATTAAAAATGAAGCAAAAGCAGCCACCTACTTGTGTTGAGGCGAAGTTCGATCCAAGGAATTGAGTGAATTCAGCTTCAACAAACATAATAATTTCTCACATTAGTGCACCTGGAGGCACAATAGATTAACCCTGTAAGTAAATTCGCTAAAAGGATGTAATAAAATGATTGGGAACTGTATGGAAAACAGTTGGAGGTTATACCAACATATAAATTCCATGTCTACTCGACGAGAACCAATGACTAAGCACAGTATGGAGAGTTGTTCATAACTACACTCTCATCAGAGGCACTTGAAATGAAGCATTTGTGATTCCATTTGTATCTCCTTGTTGAGCAAAGTGCCGTAGGGTAATCTCATTGCTCGATAGAAATGAATAAAAACTTTAGCGGTGCTCGTTCGAAACACTAGATATTTAATCGCACTAACAAGTTCTGTGATTTCTGGTATATAACATTTTAGAGGAGCGCAGCAAAGTCGAACAGGCTATAGTATAACCATAATATTTGCTGAGATATTTGCAAAATTCCGAACTGCAGGTGTCTGCAGTTGGGAACGAACGCGCTACTACCGTTTTCGGGGGCTAACGCGTTCACCGCTACACCATTCGTGTCCTTCGTTTCGCCTGTCTCTCAGCTATCTTTCTATCTACCAGCTATCAGCCACCCATTAACGGGGTTGATCTGAGGAGCGCAAATAGGCATTCAACCCAGTTGAGCTGTGGTTATAGTTGAAATACTAATTGTGCAGGCGACAACAAATAGGATGCTAACATTGAGACTGTAATATAATTTTCAGAATCTTCTTTGCCTTTTTCATGAGCGTTACGAACATACTTCTCTCAAATAATGAATTTCAGCTTCCTGTCTAGATGACCGCTCCATATGCGATCCTCACGCTGAATGCGTCCCGGGTGAGGGTGGACACTACGTTTGTAACTGCCATTATGGATATCATGGCAACGGCCTCAGTTGTACCCGTACGTTAGATGTATTTTGAAGTACAGCAAACATATTGTTGGCTATATCTTCAATGAATTCAAGTGGTTTTGAATTGAACGTGAAGTCAAAATAGTTGGCGACGTGGAAGCTTGTTTTGCAGTGGTACATATACAGTACAGTGAATGTGTAGCTTTTATGAAGTTAAATCTCCGTCGTATGGGACAAAAAATTGAGTCCAACAATGCTAAACTTTCGGAAGTCTAGGTTTATCTTATGGAAATGAGCCATGCGAACTTAGTAGAACAGAAGAATTAATAAACTGTGTTAAACAGGGCGAAGAATTTCAGCTGATTCTGAAACAAATGACGATATTTTGCTCATATCGAGAGGGATGGCCATTTTTCAGCGAGGAATCAATCCTGATGTGCCAGGGAAACAAGTGGGTTTCAATGAATGCTTCCATCTTTATCTAAAGTTCTAATGGTTATTTTGATTTTGTGAAAGAGTTGCTTTGTTAAGTTGATCGTTATTCCGCATCATATCGCAGTGGGGTTGGACTACGACTGTCAAGAAAAGCGATTCGTTTGGAGCGATATCTCCGGTACTTCGCTTTCGTACACTAATATTTTTGTTAGATTGTCTTGGTACATTCAGAGTCCGTTGCACTAGACACTGGGTAACCAGGAGTGCTTATTATACTAACGCTGAATGTTGAAAAGCTTTGCGTTCAACAGTGACTATCTACAATCTGAATCGCACTCCTACCCTTAGAATTTCTTCTGGAGAGCAACGAAGAAATTAAAGAACTGTTCTCTCATTCAATTACTCAGCTTTGGAGCTACCTAAACAGCCTTAAACTTACAAAACAACTTTGACACATACCACCGGAAATGGTATATCGACAGAAAGACAGTAACTCTTCGATAACTAGGGTAGTTGAGGGGTTTAGAGCTTGATGCTTTTGTAGAAAAGGCGTTTCTATGCCGGTTTTTTGTAAATCACCTATTATAGAGAGCGTTTTTTCATTTTCTACGCCCATTATAACATTATAAGCAATCGACTTATTATGGAAAGCACGGTAGAAAACTCCGTATTGCAAAATGAATCACTGGGACGGACATGCATAGAATGCAATGCACTTCGTCCACATTATCCCCACACATGCACGGAAGACAGTGCATCCCGGGCACTATGTGCTGGGGTTATATATAATTTCTTACAAATTATTCTGTCAACTTTCAAAGGCCAACAAGAAAAAGAAATCTCTTCTTCATCTTATTTCGAAATCCTTTTAAAAATGTCTCATATGGCTTTCTGGCGTATTTAAAGAAATGACGTTTTTCAAATCTGAATGAGCAAAGCATAAAATATCAAAAGGAAAATATCGGAAAGTAGACAAAGGTGTTGTACTGGCTCGAGTTTTGGCAACACCTTTTGTCTGAAATCCCAAGAAACCTATGCTAATGGGTTCCCAGGTCCAGGCCACAGACAGTCTTGGGTCCGTGTTAATGTGAGAATTGGAGGAAACGTACATAGAACCTTGCGATCCAGTTATCCATACTTAAATGTGGATATAATTTTTGACAGGCCACTCAATCAGATCGGCTTCAATGAATGGCAGTGATCAGCAGTCATTCTTCACTAACGATCTTAACAGTCCCGAAGGTATCGCGGTGGACTGGTCATCCAAGTAAGTGTGCAGTTTTTTCGATAAGATGTTAATTTGCTTGAAATGTTCTATAGAACTTTTCATTTTGATATGTCTTTGTTCGTCCAAGTTATCTGTCAATGCTACCTTATGCGAATTGGTTACAGCTGTTGGTTGTGAGCACCTGACAATAAAGCCATTGCTGTCCTTTAAATGCACTAGAGGACCTTTGAGGCACCTGTGGCTGACCTTAATGCCTACACTTTGGTACTGCAGAAGCTGCCCTTTGAAGAATCCGTTGACACAATATGCAAGAAGTTTTCGTTTTCTGGCTATGCGAGTCCTAACTGAGGGGATTCAGAACCTTCCGTAGCATTAGGGATTTTTTGGAATAGTGATAGTTATTCCACCTTATTATGATTGGAAGAGATTTTATCCGATGTTTAATTCCAGCCAGAATCATTTGTTTTAAAAGTTTTTATAACGCTTTCTGAGTAGTCGCCATGGGTATCCTGCCTTTTAGATGTTGAGAGATAAGAGTATGAACACAGTTTGGTGATGATCTCTTTCACAACAGAGTGTATCAAAGATACTAAAATATGCTCTTAAGATTTTAAATTGTCTATTGATGACTTCGGATAAATTTATAAATTTGCCATTTATTTATATTGCCGTTATCTCAGCATTATTCAATTGAATAGGAGAAGTTGCTTAAAGAATACCACTTGCCTTCCAGTAACCACATAAGAATTTTTTTTAAATTATAAACTAATTAAAATTTTATTAAATTAAATTAATAAAAAATTGAAATTAAAATTGAAAAAACATAAATTCAAGCTATGCGGTAAATTCGGTATTCCAGAAACGTTTACTACGCCGATTCGCTAAATGATGAAATCGGGGTCGCATCACTGGATGGAAAGTATCAAAAGGCGCTAATCACAGAAGGTTTGGTCAATCCAAGAGCACTAGCCCTTGACATGCAGAACAGGTTTGGTCCAATTATCAGTGCATTTATTCGCTTAAACTATGTAGTCGCGTTTAACAAATTGAAAAATATAATATCGTGTAGTTTTGAATGACTGCAGACATCTATACTACACGGATTGGCATCGTGAGAATCCAGTCATTGGGCGAGTTGACATGGACGGGAGGAATAATCATGTGTTCCTCAATGAGGACGTCCATCTTCCTAATGGCATTACAATTTTACCAAATAGGCGAGAACTCTGTTGGGTAGACGCTGGAAATCATAGGTGAGAATCTTTCTTAATATTTCGAAAAATCAGACAAAAAGTCATTTGTGGGTAAAGAGAAATCCTTTGTCTTATTTGATGATGCAAAAATAGAGTAGTGACGATCGCGAAGCTGCACTGAATACTTTTTTTTTACTTATTTCATTTTCTTTGACCCGTCTTCATGTCTACTGTGCGGATCCCAGCACTTCCCACATTTAATTCCTCTCCTTGCATTCGTCACCCACGAAGGTCTTCCAACTCTACGTGGCTTCGGTTGCTGCTTAAGGATTTCCATTTCATCTTGAATGTCGTGAAATACAGGTTGTGTCGATTCCCGCTGGGGTCCTGAGATAGTTGGGCTGGAGCGTTCTCAGCTGGGTAGCAGAAAGCGATTTTTTTTACCAGACAAGTCCGGTACGAATTTCGCGACCCCAGCTTGATGACGGGCGTGGTTGGCCCGAGGCGGATTCGAACTAGCACCATGTTCGTGATGACGGACATCACTACCACTGTGCTATCCGCTCCCGTGTTATTTTCCACTGTGCCCTATAATAGATACTTGTGGTGGTTGGTTCTAACCAACTTCGAACAAACTATGGTCACAATCTGGGCAAATTGGTACGACGCTTGTTTGTGAAGAGTTTAAAGACACCAGTAAGATTTCAGTAGGTCCACTGAAGTTGCCACATAGTTCAAATATGTTTTCAGTCACCTCTAGGATATTTAGTAGAGTCAAATGCACACATCACTAGGGGATTGATCAACGCAAAATGGACTTCTTGCTTTGGACTTCATACTGTACTTTATGGTTTAAACGGAAAACTATATGCAAGCAAGTAAATTACCCAGAGACCCTTGCCAAATTCCGTTTATGCGGTCAATGGTGGGACATCCTTTCTTTCAGATTATCATGCATCGGTCTGAATGGTAATAATCGCCGCGTGGTCTTCGCCCCACTGCAGCATCCATTCGGACTCACTCACAACAATGAGGCCAAATTCTATTGGACAGATTGGAAAGAGTGCGTATCCATTTTATCCGTCTCTTTTTGATGCATAATCACTTTTTATGAATTCAACAGTTACAGTAACCGAATTCACTCGGTCGGCATATATGGTGACGGCTACAAGTCGTTTCCGATCTCCTTGGGCGGTTCAGGAAAGGTGTACGGGATTTTAGCACTACCAAAGCACTGCATGGGACGTAAGTATCCATCCTATGTTTCAAAAAACGAAGTTCTAGACATGGAACATTGATAATATATTCTATATTTCAATTTTGAGGAATCTTCCGTATGTTCCGGTTAGAAAAGCTTTTTTCTTCACTTTTGAATCTCATAGCAGCCGTGTCAGGATGTCCCTGAGACAGTAGGGCGAATCCTTGTGGTTCGAGTAGAAGTTCTTCACATTTCGACTGTGGTGCTTTTCATACAATTCCTAAATTATTCTTATTCTAAAACAGTTTCTTGTTGAACGACAATTCGACAATTTGCATATTATTGTCCGAGAAAAGAATCTTGACTATACATCATAGTTTACAGTCCACTTGAACATATACAAGGACACTGTCACAATAAACTATGAGATCAAATATCAAAAACTTGTTTGGTGAACTCGATAACTTGTTTTGGTACTTAGATTGTTAATTATGAAGTGCGGACGTCAACATTTCTTCAACTCGTTTAGTTTCATCCATGGATGGAGTCTAGTTCCTCTGTCTGTTCGGCTGCGGCCTCAGGGTTTGTCGTTTCCACTCATTGGAATGTTGAATGCCAGATGAAAGTTTTGCTGGGATCGTAATAGAGACACCTAGAATGTTCCCAGTTTTTCCTAGATTCTCGAGATAGCTAGCTAGATCATTTTCAAGTCTTCACCGCAGACGTTTGCAAGAAGTTGTAGACTAGAAGATGACCTTATCCTGTGACTTGAATTCTTCCACTATGGCAGCGATCCTACCTGTCGACCTACCATTGAAGGGCAAAAGAACAAACGAATTCAGACTTAAATAACGACACTGCTGAAATCTTGACATTGCACAACATGTATCAGGAAAAAAAGCTTCAATATATTAGCCACAGTTGTGGATTAAGGGAACAGGTAGTTCAGTACTTCCGCTCATTACGCAGACGATCAACCCACCAAGCAGTGGTTTGACTACGCCCCGGGTCCACCAAGTCTCTCATGCTTCCGGAGTGAGGAAACTGGTATCAAACTTGTCTGGGAGGAGTTCACTCCCTCCAATCCCTGTGCGAACACCATAGCAAGGCACTCTCAGGATTCTAGGGAGAATCGACACGACTAGCATTCAGCGACATTTCTCACGGAAAGGAAGAAAATCTTCAATGAGCGGCTGAAGTTACGTGCAAAAAAAAGTTGGAAGGCCTTAGTGGATAGGTAGTGCATGCCAGAAAACGAGTGCAAGTGCTGGGACCCGCACGGTGGATACACGTGGTGTCGTGTAATAAAACATTATAAAAATTGTTGATCGAAAGTACTACTTGAATATTCTTCGTATACTTCATTATTTACTGAGATTTCAAATTTGCAGTGAACTCATGAGCACCTTTTGATTTTCAGCCCAAACGGCGTGCTCGGTAGACAACGGTGGTTGCGCCTATTTGTGCCTTCCAGGCCAAGAGGGCGTTCATTGCGAATGTCCGTCGAATGTCGCCGTCCAGGGATGCTGACGAAGCTTTAGGACAATAAGATACAATTTAAGTCGGAACGTCCTCAAAATATTTCGTTTACATGTAAGAATGAATTCGCCCTTATGTCAGTGATAATTTTTCAGTGAGGAAAAGAATAGCTATCAATCCTTATTAAGCCTACTAAGCATCAAAAACGAGCGATATTACTTTTCATAGTGTTGTGATCCTTTGAAACTCACCACATGTGATTCCTCATCTAAATCCAAGATCAAAATCATCCAATCTACAAAAATCAGGATATCCTAAGAAACATCAATCAGTCAAACGCTAAGTAGAATTGGTTCCTTTATAGTGTAGCTCCTAATTTTCCATTGTGCTAAGTTTTTCTTGCTCAGTTATCGACTTGCGTTTTTAAATTCTTACGGAGCAAAAACTCATGATCATCTTAGGAGTATTGTTAGAAATTCCTCAACTACATAAAGTATTCGTGCGAATGAGATGCCCTTGAAGTTGTTAAATATTGGAATGCGTACCTCGACCAGCTTAGGGCTATCACTTTACTTTTGGGACTCAGAGCTATGGAGCGCTAGACAAGTATACCTTCGTTCCTCTAAGCACATTTTCATGCCAGCAGCCGCTTTGTTCCTCCAATAGTTCGCCTGCTTGCAATATCCTGACGAGTTTTTCACACCGATTTTTACTTATTATTCAAATTTGACCTCTGCCTTCTCTCTGAGCCAATTACGCTGCCTATTAAAGCTGTGTATCATATATTAAGTTTTGGTTGTTAAAATTGTCCTTTAAAGAAGTTGCAAATGTGCAAATATCTCTGCCACTCATATTTTATATCGTTCTTATTGGTTTTTTTTCTATTCTTAACATAGAGCTGCGCAATAAAGACAAATAATTTTGTTTAAACTCTGTTGGATTGTTAATAGGAAGAGCACAGCACTTTCCCTATTTTCATATGACCCGTCTTCACGTCTACTGTGCGGATCCCAACACTTCTCACATACGATTCGTTTCCTCGCTTCCACCACTTACGAAAATCTTCCAACTTTGACCTGTGGCTTCGGTTGTTACTTGTGGATTTTCATTTATCTTGATTGTCCTAGAATATTGGGTCAGTCGCTTTCCTTGGAGTCCTGACACCCGGGCTGGATCGTTCTTGGTTGGATTGCAAAGTATTTTTTTCCCGGACAACTGTACCAATTTCCCAACCCTTGATGGATGATGGGCTTGGTTGGCCTGGTGCAGAATTGAACTAGCACCATGTTCGTGATAGTCGACATCACTAACAGTGTGCCATCCGCCTCTGAGCTAGACTTACCAGTACAATCTCTTCCAGCAAGGTAACCTATCAGAGCTCGAATCTGGTCTACGCAAAATGCTTGGGACCATTCGATAAATAAAGTATTTGAGGACTCGGAGACGTGACCAAGCTATATAGCAGACTTCACTCTTGTTAGGAGTACGTGGTTCTTCAGGGCGCTTACTTGATCTTTTAAGTGGCTTGGAACTAGAACCTCCGGGCCAAATGTATACATGGTTTAAATGTTCAAAACTGCAAACGATATTGTAAAAACCATAAACACCAGCAAAGCATTTGATAACGCCAAAGTGTTCGAACGGACGAAATACGATTGCTCAATTGTTTCCACCTTCAAAATACGACCCAACTAGAGAAACAACACAAGATACGTTTGACAGGCCTCAAGAAAAAGGAAAATCACAATTTTGTCGGCGCATAACAGAACTTTTATCCTGTAGGCAAAAGCCTTTAGATTCTAATACTTTCCACTACTTACTCGGATTCTTGGACGGCCCGTCATCACTGGTTCTGCAGGTCCCAGAATAATTTCCATTGTATCGGAGTTTTGCTGGTTTAGCCATTGTGGTTCCCTGGAGTTCAGATGTTAGTCAGGTCTGCCCTAGGTTATCACCCCCACAGGCAGTCGCCGCCCTTGTGGATCAGGAGATTTGCTACCATGCGACTAATTTGATACCAAGACGGTGGTGGATCCCGTTGTTGGTTATATTACTTTTCATTTAAATTAATAAACTTTATTTCGAACTGAGATATATTGGCTTGAAATAGGAAGCCGCCATTATTTTCCCACTATATGAGCGGAATTCAACACATGTCACCCCGGAAGAGCTGATTGAAAAAATCTGAGTGCATTATGTATGATCCTCACCACAGTCCTAAAGACGAACGTACTACACTGTTAGTACCGTAGAAAAAGAAGAAATGAATGGAATATTTAATTCGAAATTAAACTCAAGTTAGCTTAAATAAAAGCTCGAAATATTACTGCTATGAAGTATAAGTACTAGTAAAACGAAATGTTTAATGATATAAAAGATCTATTTATGTGTACAACATAACTGAAGCACAGAATTTCAGAACTACCGACATGTAGAAACTATTCGTCTAGAGTAGGCTTGATTTCTGGTAAATTGGGTAGAAGAGGAGAATCGGGAAAATACTTCGATACCAATTCATAAGCAAGTTTGTTCAAGCGGTACCTGAAAGAGATCATCAGACAGATTCACTGTAAAGAATAAATTGTGGCCGAGCTATGATAGATCCCACATACTTTGCCCTTTATCAATGAGTTATATCAATGCTTCCACGTATAAAACATGAGAAATGCCTTTTTTCACTGTTTAGGCAGTTTCCTCTTTAAAAATTGTAACACAACCCATGGTTTACTTACCCGCATCTGTAGTATTCAGTGTCGATACCGTTGAAGCTATAACAGTTGGCAAACATACGACAGAGATCAGCAATGAACAAATGTTGCTAAACATAAATAATATTGAAGCACATGAGTAACAAATAAAATCAAAACAGTTCTGAACTTACATGAACATAGTATTTTGCTTTTACCCGCTTAGACATTGTGCCAAGATCAATCGGATACTCGATATAATCGTAGTACTCAGGAACCTGGAGAAAAGTGAAAAGTTGACACGATATCACCAGATAATAACACACTGCTTACATAAACTTACCATTTCACCGTCTACAGGCGCAACGAATGGCCAGCTCCATTTATCACTGTTCAATTTCTTAAGTATAAGTTTCAACTTAGTTTCGAGATCTAGGTCTTTGGGTGTACGTTCGTCATCGCTATGGTTCTCTAGGCCAGGAATATCTTTGAAGCTCAGTGGTTGACCACCTAGAATGAGTCATTTCAGCTAACAAATGTACCAGAACAAATTAAAAATAAATTTACTCTGCTGGCGGAATACATGTTCTATTCCACCGTACTTTCGCTCCTTATCCGGGTATTTCAATTCTCCCATGACCTGGTGTAAATCACGAACATGCTTGATATACGAAGAAAACTCTGTGTAACACATTCTGAAAGCAAATTGTTCATTAATGGATGTTTGCTCTACAGGTGAACCATACTTGCTCACATGGATACTTGGACCACCCATCCTCACTAATTGTGTGAGTCCCAAAACAATCTTCACTTTTGCGGAGTTTATCTGGTTTAGCCATTGTGGTTCTCTGGAGTCTTGATTTTACCATGGGCAAAGTCTGGCCAAGGTCGTCACCACCACAGGCAGTCGCCGCCCTTGTGGATCGGACGGAGATTTCCTACCGTGTGAGTAGTTTCCTTTGGAGTAATAAACCCTTCACTCCTGTACACCGCAGCCCGACACCCAAGAACACCTCTCAACCACGATGAGGCGGCTAATCGCTGGGAGTACACCATATTTAGTTAGCACATAGATTCAAGTTTACGCAGTTATACAGAAGAGAAAGAAATGTCTTTTCAAACTTACTGTGGGTGCAGTTGACAACCCATTAATGTTGCGCCTTCATACTCTTTAATGAAACCTTGGTAAAGCTTCTTCGGCATTTCTACATTCTCGGAGAATCCTTGCTTGCTGAAATTTTGAGAGAATATCCCTTCACTGCATAAGTTTCAAAGATGCCCTGCTAGTGTTTCCATACCTAAAATATCCTATTGCAAATTCGTCAGCGAATGTCAGCAAGTGGTAGTTTCCACATTTTACTTGGTAGTCCTTCAAATGGTTCATCAGGTGTGTCCCGTACCCTTTCACCTCAAAGTAAATTCATGCAAGAAAATCGTCTACACGGGAAAAAATAAAGGTCTGGAAATCTCAGCTAGCAAAGTTACGAAAAAGTCTAGTGAGTTCACAAAAACAAGAAAATCTTTACTTGTTCGTTAGCAGTTATAGCACAGAAGACAATTTCGATAAAACCTTGGGTTGGAAAAGGCCGAAAGCATATTCCACCAATGACTCCCTTACCTTAAAGTAATCAGATAGATATTACAAACGAGAACGTTTAAAACAAATGCAAAGAATACTGTTACAACTAACCCTTCTTCAATAATATCATGTTCCTATGCCGATCATCAAAAACCAACCGAGTTATGTATTCTTTTGGCATTTTAGGAAGCTGCACTGAAAACAAACTTTGCAGCTGCAATAACCAAACCATTGTCTCGCGACTTTGGAAGGGTTCCAGTGAATTCCCAATGACCTTAAACCTAAACAACTACTGTAAATTATTCATGATCATGCAAGAAAGAAGTGATTTGGAATCCACTCAATGATCCCTTGCTTTTCCTCAATTCGAGCAGCTTCACCACGATACACGTCGAGGTTAACCGTATCTGCTGGATCGTTGACGGCGAGGTTCCCATCTTCTGACTAAAACTTCAAATCGTACAGATGACTAGTCCAAAAAACCCGTGGATAAAAACAACTTACATTATTTACAATCTTTACAAGAGTTCTGATTAAAAGCTCAGTAGAAACCACTGATTCAGACTGAAACAATACAACTTGGTACTTCAGAAACCCCAACGAGGGTTCTGGCAACGTGGAAAAATGAACTGGTTCGCTGATCTCGCACCTTCGTTCGCTTCCTAGGAATTTTCTCTTCCCCTGAAGTACTAGGTTCGTCGTATTCAATATGTCGTCCTTTTTCGCAGTGCCGGGCGAATCTGCATTATAAATCAACCGCTAGGTTAAATCCGTATCAAAATTAAAGCTTAAAGACCAATCAAAAGATATATCAACCACCATACATAGGAAGATCCATCCCAACAGGTAACATTTCACTAGGCTTCACATTGCTTTTCGAAGTCTCAAGAAAGCTCACAAGCGACGTCATGAATGGTACGATATCACAGGCCGACTAAATTGCAGTTATAATATAGGACATAAAGCGTGAACAACAAAAAATGTCTACCTCTCCGCTTTGACTCTCGACATTACCACCTTGTTCTAACCGATTAAGAGCATACTTTAGAAACAACTGCAGCCCTTTTTGTCCGAAAATCTCCACCGCTTCATACTGTTTCAAGGACTTGAACTGCTGAGGTAATATGACATAGTACATCCATCGGGTATAAAACAGTCGATACTGTACGCGATCCACTTTCGGGACTAAACAAACAAAGCACCTTTTCAAACTATGCAACGTAGGAAACATGTGTACCTTACCTGTCTCATGATACAAATACGGTGTAGGAATAATCCATGTGTTCATTATAGTTAGAAGCTTAGAAGCACAGCCCACGTTGTAGGTAACCCTTCGAATAATACGATGACTATTTGACTCCAAAAGGAAGTAAAAGCAAGGATTTCAATTTATTCTCACTCGGTTCCTTCAGCAGATGTGACAAAACTAGTAACTACTTCGAAGGCCGATACTTCTTCGAACTTTGGAGATCCGAATGGGACGTCAATGTTTGTGCTCCACTTTCTTAGTGCACTAAGACATAGTTGAAAGACTTGATAGACTATCTGAATTACATTACATTACAGGCAGTCAAATTTCTATTTTAACTAGTTATTTATTGCCTACTCATTTTAATGGCAGGGTATATTGCAAAATATAACTCTAATAATGCTGAGATATTTGCAAAACTCCGTCCCGCAGGTGTCTGCGGTGGGGAACGAACGCGCTATTCTCCTTTCCGGGAAATAAGGCGTTCACCATCGCACCATGCGGGTCCTTCGTTTCGCCTGGCAAGTGATCGATAGAACCAGCTGAGAGACAGGCGAAACGAAGGACCCGCATGGCGTGGTAGTGAACGCGTTGCTCCAGAAAAGGACGATAGCTCGTTCGTTCCCCACCGAAGACACCTGCGGTCCGGAGTTTTGCAAATATCTCAGCATCATTAGAGTCAAATTTCTGTTTGCATAGTTTGTGGAACTTCCGCGCTCAGTACGATAGCAATTTTTACTTAAAGCCCCGATACCTGAACGACCTACATGTAGTTCACCCGTGTCCTGAGTACTTGATAATCGTCCATGCAAACTGTGTGTGTCATTCGCTAATTGCACGAGCTTCTCCAGTTCTTCTTTTTCAGTCTTCAAGAGATGAGCACCGTGGGAGTCTAGAGAACTGTACACTCAAGGGCACTGATTATTACAAATTAAAATTCATTCTGACTTCAAAGATGGCTAAAGAGCTCAACGCATAGAACATTTGCTAACCAATTCCATGACCACAACCTCGACAGACGGCATCACGTTCTACGTTGCACATCAGTTTGAAGTCGACCTAAAGACTCATCACAAACTATATGTACAAGACTATTTTTACATCAAGGTTAGAAAAAAGGAATACAATGACGATTAAATCGCTACTGGACGAGTTTACCGAAATACGGCGACAAGCCAACTTCAATAATAAAAAGATAAAATAAAATTGTCGGCACTGATCCATCCCTGTGGGATGCGCCGTGCATTGGACTTCATTAAGGATCGTTGGAGCTTATTCGATGCATATCTGGGCTTTACAATGACTAGCGGTGGCCTATCGATTTATCGAGCCAGTGCAACTATCCTCCCAGACAGGTCTTGTGCTAATTTGCCGACCCCGGAGGGATGAAAGGCTTAATGGGCCAGGAGTGAGGGAATCGATCTCATGTGTAACTGCAGGGCGCCTCCGACCACTGCTCTACACGCGCCCTTCAATTCTTCAGTGAAAAACTCGAATAATTCTCCACTTAATTTACGCTGTGTCAAATATTGTCAAAAATAATACCACAACATTGTCGGAGCGATGTTGGATTTCCAAAAACTGTCGATAATTTTGAGATACACTGCTCTTTCGCTGAAACTTCCTAGCTACGATAGCGGCAAACATGAAATCGGAAAAATGATCGCATCACTGGGTGAAATACTTTTTGTCCAATCACTTCACTGTAGCAAATACGATCCTTGAAGACAGAAGTGAAACCGAAATTTTGTCTTGCACAGAGAACAGATGTTCATTATCTCATGACAAAGAACTAGTATCTTTTTGGCAAAGATGTATAGGTTCTATTGCATTATAACCCAATTAATAAACTCTTAACTTTAACCTACTGCCTAGTCCTCTTTATGGTAAGATTTAACGTGAAATACAATGATAACGATGCCCAGATATGAGCAAAACTTTGAACATCAGTTAGGAACCACAAAATCAAGATCCGGTCTTGGTAAAGTAGGATAACATCTGTCTTATAATCAAAGAGATATGGATTTCAATAAATTTTATTAACACTAACAAACCTTGATAGAAACCAATATACGTCCAGCAGTGGTGCAGCAGGTAACATCTGAGTCCGGGAAGGGTAATCGCGGGCTTTAAGCCCAACTCAGGTTCAGAGCTTTCCTCATACCTCAGCATCTTTGCAGCTGTATTTCACACCAATTAATAAAATCCGCTGCAAGCTGGGAGATGTATGTTTAGGGTCAAAGGGCCATTTCTTTTCATTTTTAAGTTATTTTCGGACACAATGTGGATCACAAATGACCTATACATTTGCGAAAGTGTTAGTTGAGCAATCTGACTTAGCGATTTCATTCAAAAGATGGGATACAAAAATATACGGACCAAGGGTGCTACGAAAAAAAAAAGACACTTACCAGGAACAATCCACCATCTTCCTCAGACTGGTCTTCATTAAGAATAGGACGGAAACCACTACACTTACATTCCATACATTTGGCAAAAAGAGCCAGGACTTTGAAATCGCCGTCGTCATCCCGAACGCGCATCTATCAAATCAATACCGATCAGTATTAATCAGTAAAGTCAGATCGGAAAAATATACTTCAATCAATGTCTCATCATGTTATTTACCCAAAAAACCCTAAACATATCCCTTAGTAGTGAGTTGTTTCAGTAGAAATCCAAAGAAAATAAAGTAGGAACCTAAACAAACCAAAAGGATGTCGTACTAATCGTAAAAGAGTTAAAATAACTCTGGCACTATTAGAGATCGCTAAGTAGTAAACACAAGAAAACTATGCAGACCTTACTGTATGGATGAATAGCTCCGCCACACACTTATTCAAATACTCCATGGACAAAAAGAAAAATAAGATAAGGTGAAGAAGAAAATAAAAAGCAAAAAGAGAAAGGAACGACAAATGTGTGAGAGGATGTGAGTGCACAGAGCAACCTCCATTTTCAGCCGTAAATTAAAAATCAGTACGCAATTACGAACTCGCAATAGCGTCCACCACTCGAAGGAACTCGTATCTTGATTTTTATACAGTATTACACATATATATCTGTATAAATTATATGTTGTATTCACCGCTTGTGTAGGAAGTCTAGCCGAGAGAAAGGCAAGACATGTGCCTTAATGGTGCAGTGGTTAACACGTGAGCCCCCGGAAAGGGTAGTCGCAGTTCCGTCTGGACTGGGTCCAAGTTTTGTATATACCTCAGCATTGTTGTGGTTATATGCTATATTATGTCAAATTATTGTAAAGATTTATTCTACTACAATGGTTTTTTATTGCTTTGAGGTGCTTATGAACATTATGAAGCGATTCTGCTGCTGTAGTGGTGACGAGGACTACGGCACGCCATACGAACGTTTCTATGACGAGTCACGTGTCACGCCGGTTCGAAGGGAAGATCCCCGAATAAACGGGTACAGTCCTTCTAGCTTTTCATCTTTGAGTGGACGAAAGATGTCCTTCGTATCGCCTGTGTTTTCTTATGGCTTTATTTCTCCTTTATCTTCTCTCTCTTCTTTCTCTTTCTTTATGGTCGCATTTCAGTGGCGTTGAATCTATCTATATAGTGCCTTTCAGACGTCCCATAGAAGAGACGGATAATGCCGAAAAGCAGAGCGAACGAAAAAAAGTTAAGACAAGAGAGGAACTGGAAGAAGAAGCTCTTAACAGGATCCTTGAGAACTTTCAGCACGTAAGTCGGCGGTTTATCTAATCGATCTCGGAGCCCATTTACTGCGGATAGTGGTCCATTTCAGTTTTAAACTGAGTAGGATTTTTTACTTCCAGAAAACTAGGTCTAATTCTTTCAAAGTAATCTGTTAACACTAAGAAAAGGTAGTAATTTGATAGACTTTGTTCATCTTACTATTCGTTAGTCAATTTTTCCTTTCCCAAGATCAACTTTCTGCTAGCCTCGGCATTGATTGATAGTTCGATGTTTTTCTTCAATAAGAAGATACGAGGTTGTTATTATAGGATTTATTAGGATACATTAGCTGGTTTCGGCAGTTTCGCCTTGTTCAGAGCCTGGAAAGGTCAAATTGAGATGCGATCTACTCGGCCAAACACTTTCATAACCCCAGCAGATAGAACTTGGCAAATAAATATGCGTTGGCATAAGAAACAGCTTCATTTAGACACCTACCGTTTAATCGTTGTAAGTATTCCAGTTAGTTGATGGATATCAGCCGCACAGAGTAATACATGGGCGATAGCTGTACCTGTGTCAGGTCATTGAATCACCCTAAGGTATGGCGCCAGGTCACGCGTGATGACAAGGCACTCCTCCTTGCGGTTCATTTTTGAATTTTTGGAATTGATCCAAAATGCTTCAAGAGTTTTACGCGCTGATCTTTCCGATTCGTGCGTGAGGATAGTGACTCCTACTTCAAAATATTCTCCGTTGTGTTTCTGTGTCCTATGCGCGTCTAGTGAAGTGCTTGGTTTTAATTTAGATTTACTGACTAGATGTTCTTTTATTCGGACGCAGAGAGGCCTACCCGTTTCGCCAACGTATTCCTCCTCGCACGCTTTACAAGTGATCAGATTGACTGTATCCGAACTCATGCAATCACCGTGCATTCTTATGCGAATGCAAAGTTCTTTGTTAAGTTTTATCTGCTAAGGTTATGAAAGTGTTTGGCTGGGTAGATCGCATCTCAATTTGACCTTTCCAGGCTGTGAACAATGCGAAACTGCCGAAACGTCAGCTATTGTATCCTAATAAATTCTATAATAACAACCTCATGTCTGCTTATTGAAGAAAAACATCGGATTTTTCCTCTATCATGTTCATGATTCCAACTAATTCATGTTCATTATTCCTACTTGGTACTTGCTTACATGGATAACCCATCTTCACTGGCTGTGCGGGCCCCATAATAATCTCCATTTTTTTCCGAGTTTTGCAGGTTTAGCCATTGTCGTTCCTTGGCATCCCGAGATCAGCTTGGCCAAAGTCTGCTCCAGGTCGTTACCACCACGGGCAGTCGCAGCCGTTGTGGATCAGAGGGAGATTGGTCAACGTGCTAGTAGTTTGATACCAGGACGGTGGTGGATCCTGGTATTGGTTTACTCCTAGCTAGGCTTCCTGATGGCCTAACGCGGGCCTCGCCTCCTTAGCTTGGGAAACCCTGATGGGGGATGAGTTACCCGCTGTACATCGCATCTCGACATCCAGGAACACCTCCCAGCCACAGTGAGGTGGTAAACCGTTGAGTGGCTTATTTTTTCTAAATTAGTTGGTTTATTGCTTATGCTTCTTGCAACCACGAGGCTTAATTGGTGAAATCGTTGCAATCTTGGTATATAATGTTCCAGAATATCATCGACGTCTCTCATCTTGACGGGATGACGTTGAATACATCCGATTACTTGGCACGTACCCAACAGTACGAGGAAGCTATCCGTGTGCACGATCACAGTGCGAGTCGTGCTGCTAGTGATGTCTCTCGCATCTTATGTAGGCAGTTTTCATTGTTATGCTTTGTTGGATTTATTCAAGCTATAATTATAATACTTATACTTGAATACTTGAGTGGCCCGCGAGTCCCAGCATAATTTCCATTTTTCGGAGATTTACTGGTTAAGCTATTACGATTCTCTGAAATCCCGAGGTCAGCCTATCCAAAGTTTACCCCAGGTCTTCACCACCACAGGCAGTCGCAGCCATTGTGGATCAGAAGGAGATTTGCCACCATGCGACTTTGATACTAGGACAGTGGTGGATCCTGGTAATGATGTACTCTTAGCTAGGCTTCCTGATGGAATCACCGGACTCCTTCACAGCTTGGGAGAATACCAGCGGATGAACCCCCCACTGTACATCGCAGTCCGACACCAAGGAACACCTCCCAGCCACGATGGGCGGTAAACCATTGGGAGGGTAATTATAATAATGCTGAGATGTTTGCAAAACTTGGGACCGCAGGTGATTGCGGTGGTGATGGAACACGCTATTACCCTTTTCAGGAGCTAACGCACCTATAAGTTAAAATACGACTGAGAGTAGGGCGGAACGATGGAACTGCATGGTGTGTTGGTGAGTGCATTAGCTTTCAGAAAGGGAAGTAGCGTGTTCGATCTCCACAGCAAACACCTGCGGTACGGAGTTTTGCAAATATCTCAGCACCACTGTAGTTATACTTCATATTATATCCTGCCATAAAAAAAAGTAGGCAGTAAATAAAACTGACTACATTGTGACTTATTCAAGTTATTTCTCAAAATTATTGTCTTAAGACACTGGAAATCGACTAATAGAAGATAGTGGGAGTAAAGTCGTCGACTGGTTGTGCAAACCAGGACCAACTCGAGAAACTTACGCAGAAATTCAGCAGTTAACTGCTGAGTGGGTCATCTTCATCTTATTATATTGCTTTGTTTCTCCGTTCGTACCTAATCTTTAAGTTTCTTTGCTTTTATTTGTTTCCAATTCACTAGTTTTACCAATTTCTTAAGGGTACACGAGGCAATTGCTCAAGGAATGGTAGTGCAACATAAAACGGATCTTGTTGTGTACATGGATCTTTGAAGGTGATTTCATGGTACTTGGTAATTGTACTAGTTCTCTTTTCTTAATATTTAGGAGGGCTATTAGCGGTGGTATAATTCGTACTCTTCTGGAAAAAAAAGTGTCCACATTTTGGACGCGATGCTGCAACAAATCACATGTTCCTGGAGATTGTGCATTTTTTTTTTTACATAAAATCGATTTTTGGAATGCCCATAACTGGGACAAGTTTTCTTTCAAAGACGATGAAACTACGATTGGTTTTTGCTGAAAAGGAATCCTGAATTAAGTTTGATACTCCGAAAACAAAAGAATTCGTAAAATGTTTCAACAAGAACGGACTTCGTTTTTTTGGTTCTTTATTCCTACGATTTTGCCTTATTCCTAGATAAAACTCCATATTTCTGTCGAAGTAGCGACTGATATCAGAGCGAACAGATTTTTAAATTGCTTGCTTGCATTTGGGACTAGGAAGTTTGTTTTTGTTGTGTGTTTCACCTCACGTCATCCCTTTCATCCAGTGTCACGTCACAGTGGATAGTTCACCACCTAAGGAGACTTCATCTCTATCACCTATCGTCGTCCCATTGATCGTCGAGTGACTGGTGCGGGCACCAGTAAATCTTCCAATTTTCTATGCCGCGGGCAAGATCAGCCCAGTGAGTTCTACTCGCTCTACGGACTTGTTGTGCGCTATAACTTTCTTCTAGGGTTTTTCTGAATAACCCTAACCATTGGGTTAGTGGTTTTCCTGCACTACGTTTGAAAACCCGAGGAATAATCCAGTCTCTAACGGGTTTTGATCGTTGAGGTAGGTCGGAGCTTCGTATCCCTCCCCTCACTTGTGCGAGACAGGATACTCCTACCATCGTCCTTTCGACTGCTGGTTTTATAACGCTGAGCGGTCTTTTATCCTGCTTACGCAACGACCTGATTTTTCACACATACCTTGAGACAGGAAGGATCGTGAAATCGAAAAGCGCGCCCGTTGTCGAGGTTTTTGTATTATTCACTACATTCTCGTTGCTCTTGAAAGCTTCCCAAGCCGATCGTTTCCTTCTGCTCAACTCTGGAGCGGAGTCGTTCATCATAGTGATTTCCCAACCTAAATAGGTGTAACTGTAGCATTCGGATATAGCCGTTCCTAATGAACATCGTTTTTGTGAGATTTAGTCGTAGCCCAATTTTTCTACGGGCTTTATCAAAGTCGTCAACCATACGTTCTGCTTGGCTAATGTTTGGTGTTATAAGGACGATGTCATCAGCAAAGCGAGGATGGTGTAATTGCCGACCATCGATTTCCGTTCCTATGTTATTCTATTCCAATGTTCGCGTTGTTCTCGAGGGTGGCGGTAAATAATTTTGTCGAATTGGTATCGCCTTGCCTAACCCCTCTTTTGACGTCGATCTTAATATCGTTGTAAAACGGTGATACCTTCGTTGTGAAGTTTTTATACAACTCACAAAGAACCTTTACATACTGAGTAGTTAGTGACTTTCCAGGGCTTCCATGACTGTTGCATCTGGATCAAAACACTTCTTTTTATCGATGAAAGTGAAAGAGACCAGTCTTTTGCACTCTGGCGACACTTCCATGAGTCTTGTTATCGTGTGGATGTGGTCCATCGTACTGCATCCATTTCGATACCCTGCTTGCTCCACATGACAGTTCTTCCAGTGTTTTGCCAGTCCTGTTCAGGATGACTCGAGTGAAAAGTTTCTAGGTGAGAGACATTAATCAGGTTGGGTGATAGTTGCCAGTAACGTGTAGGTCACCCTTCTTAAACAATACCACGTTTTCAGTGGTTAGGAGGGACGGGAGGTACCTTGCATTCAGACAGGTATCGTGTGAAGAGCGGAGCCAGTGTCTTTATGAGAACTGGCAGAAGGTTCTTCTTGTGTTCTATTCTTATTTTGTCTCGACCTGGTTCTGTTCGATTTTTCATCGGAGAAATATTATGTTGAATTTCGGAAAGGCGAAATGGTGGTAAGACATATCCATCCTCCTTTATTTCATATGAGGGAAGCAGGACTTGGCTATTGAAGAGATCTGAGTAGTATTCGTGAGTGATTTTCCCTGTTACCTTTCTGAACGCTGTAACTGTTCCGTCTGGGCGTCGGAATGCAGTCATCTCCATTTGTAATTGGCGAAGCTTTGGAGGGCTTCAAGAATGCTCTTCCAGGCCTCTGCAGGTTTGATTATAACTGCTGTTCTTCTCTATTTAAGGTCTTCTATCACTTATCTGCATTGCAAGTTCGGACGGTACTTCGCAGTTGTTTGCAGCTCGTGTGATTCCACACTGGTGTATCGGCTCGAATGTTTCTGGAGACAACCGCCTCTTGGCGATTTTCGAATTCTCTGCTTTAGTAGCAGTAACGTAAAGTAGTTATATGAGCCAGCCGATTGTATTCGTCGTCAATATTGTCGAAAATGGGATCTTTCCAACAGCCAGTTAATGAATTGAACAAATCCTAGTTAATGTTGGTTTCGGGAACTTTGCTTTTTGAATTTACCGGCTTCTTCTCCTTTTCGCGAGGAGTGAAATCTTGCGCGAAGGAGGCAATAGTCTGATCCCGTGTTAAATTCTGGAGCAGGAATGACATTGATTGAACAAAAACTTCGATTTACTATAATGTCTATTCTGTTATGATACTCTACGTTGGGAGACTTACATGTCTACCTTTGAGAGTTAGGGTTCTGGAATTGCAAGTTATCATGCACGGTCTTGGTCATCACGATAATCTCGGACACCCGCTCACCCTGTTCGTTCCATTCTAACTCGTGGGTGCAGTTGTTTTATTCTTGGGATATTTTTCTGGGTCCACTCTTAGCGTTATAGTTTCCAATGATGACCTTGAAGAATTTATGGTCTTCCCTGTAAAGCTTCTCCACGCCCATGTAAAATCCTTCGACTTCATCTTCATCATAGCTTGTTATCGGTGCGTATACAACGAAGATTTTAAAATCCGCTATTGATCCACGTTTTTCCAATCGAATCATATTCGGATTGTTAGCTGTTCGAGTGAATTGATGGTTATAGCCAAACTCTTGTTGAAGAGAACGGCGACGCTGCTGACTTTTCTGCTGTCGCATGTTGGGAAGGCAGTCCTTCTCCGATGTCATTGACGGCGTTGAATGAGTGGTGTTTTCTAGTTTTGGTCAGTCCGATGACGTCGTATCGTATGCTTCTTGCCGGCACTACCAAGTTTTCTATCGACAACTCAATTGCAAGTGTGCGCGCATTGTAGGTACAAATCGTCACATTAGTCCTTTGCGATTTATGCAGCCTACAATTGCCCTGAGATTTTAGGACCCTGTCCCAAGTAGTCCTAACGCTGCTCCTGACCCCGAAAGAATAGGTGGCTGTTTCGAGGTTAGGAGGGTGAATCTCGTTTATTTTTCTGTGTTTAGCTTTTTGATACTCACCTATAGCTTGCTGATCTCTGAACGTCGGTACTGGGTATACTCTTCTCTTGTGTAGCTTACCGGTCCGCCCTGAGTATTCATTGAGTTCATTTGTTGGAGGCGACTCTTAACTGCCTACTTTACACTTCCTTTTCTCTTGATTCCAGGCTTTTTACTGAACTGACCCATAAAATACAAACCTCATAAACAAGAACACATCCACGCACGCTCGCTTGATTATGTCCTGGTAAACACGGAAAGTATGTGCTAAATCGGCGTGGTAGGAACAAAGAGTCCATTTCGTGGATCCATCTACGTCTCGGTAAAGCAAAAGTCGCTTTTGGTCCGTGATTCATTTGAAGCATATCGAAAATCATGCCAGGTGGATTAATGAGGGAGGTTCAGAAGAAAGTAACAAACTACTGAGTTGTTTTCATAGCCTAAGATTGTTTTTAAGGCAATCCTAAGGGTGCCTGATTTTTCGTAGCATGTGCGTTGTGTAGATTCGGTGCTCCGCATATTTTTCTAATCATTTTTGTTGGTTTTTATACTTTCATTCGTCTTGTAAGTTCGTGTACGTGTCTTTTCATGTTATGGAAACTCGTTTGTGAGAGAAAAGATAGTCAGCAGTCTGACTACGGTACCTTTAGAATTGACTGCGCAACATTATATTTCTGCTTCAGAACCTAACATTCTCCAGAAGTTACACCTTGTGAAATCACATCGATGAACGCGCAAAGTTGTCTTGGAATTCCCTAGTACTCTCCTCATCAGCAACTTTTCTTAGTAAAAGATTTCGTTTTACCCTTCTCGTCTACAATAGTTTTGCCTTTTGTGTAGAAAACTGCCTTTCTTAACGTACTCCTTATATAACGTGCGTTATTAGTAACATATGAATTGAATGCAAAACGTATAGCAAAGATGCTTCTGCGACGAAAGAAGCCGTCGGTGAGAAAGGTTGGAGTAGATCAACGCGTACCAGTGAAACTAATGTGTTCCAGTGCGGAAATGTCAAGTTAACAGCTTCAGAATAAGCGTATTAATTTGTTATAACCTTTGCTTATTCTATTATCTTAATATTATGTTAATAACATAAGTTATTATATTTTCAGACTGCAGTAGCAATGGCTAAGGTTCTCTCATTCGGTAAGGGTGAAGATTTTTGTGTGGAAACCGTTGTAATGTTTGGAGGTTTAAGTTTAACATATATAATATATATATATATATATGTGCATGCATATATGTTTATATATATATATCCACATATATATATATATATATATGCCGTTATGTACAAATATATCACAGTGTATTATTGCATCGTCCTGTCGTATCTCATTGTATACTAGTGCTTTATCTTGAAAATATTTGCGTCTAGAATTGATGTATCATGAAATAACTGTGAATAGAGTACGAGTTCTGTGCAGATATGAGTTTGTCTTCTTGTTTTCGTCTGATGTGTACCACTTTCCGGTTCATGTTGTGCCTTTCTGCGACATGCGTCTTTATCAAATACACTGTGATATTCTCCTGTGAAATCGATTAGCTGTTAGATAATATTCTCCTGTGAAATCCGTGAGCTGTTAGAATCTTAGAGATCTATTCTGTGGTGAATTTATCATGTGTAATTGTATCACTTTGTATTATTACTGCGTACTTTATAAACTCATTATGTTCTTAATTTGCTAGCACCCATTGGTAATTGACCTTTAGTACTTGTTCTTTGTTTTGTAAACCCTGTCCCTATAGCAGTCTACTTGGACTTGGAAACTTGGGCACTTGAATTGGGAACAATTCCCACTTAACTGGCAATTTGCTGATTGAGCGTTTCCATGAAGCCACGACAGTTGTGCAAGTTCTTAGGTTGCCACCACTTGTCAAGTATTGGGTTTGTTATTGCTACGATCGTAGTTTTCACTGGTAGTGGCATTGGTTTGCTCTAATCCGGGCCTCCAGAAGTAAATACTGGACTCCTCGCCCTGGGAGATCTTGTTAGGAAAGGAATCATTCATTGTTCACCAGCTTTCTACGCTAACAAAAAATCGTCCACTCTTGGAGCTGTGCTAAACCATTCTAGAGATAGGTGCTATTTGTATATCTTCGTATGTTACGTCTGTTGTTTGCTATATTTAGAAGCTGTTGAAAACTGTATTTTCTTTGCATAGATCGTCTTCACTGATTTAAATCATTCAGATTCATTTCATTTCATGACCTTTCTGAAATGTCATTGAGGATATTTTCGTATATTGTGGTTAGACCTGTCTTGATGAAGCGTTTCCTCTTTCATTGTGTTCTGTGCATAAAAAGCGTAGATTTATCTCAGTAGAAGAAAATTTCATCATAATAGATACCAGTGGAAGTGAGATATGCCACGTTAATGAATAACGTTGAGATTCGAAATAGGACTGACAACGAATGAAAGATGAGAAATAGAACTTATTTGAGTAACTTGTGAGGTCAGTGAGTAAGGCATTAATCAATAAATGAAATCCGGAACAGCCATACTACTGCGTTGCGGTACATCTCGAACAGGACTGCCTTAATCAGATCTCTGAAGACGTTCCTTTAGAGATCAGTAATTCAGTCAGTTACCTTCCCTTGAATACTTGTATTGTTAGTAATATTATCCTGAAGATGTTGCGTCGCCAAGCCCAACTTCATGATTGGCTTGATTCCTCTTCATATCGTTGTATGGTAGAATACTATAATCATCAGCACTTCATGATAAAGTACTTTACGTGACAATGGCGATGATAAGACGAAAGTTAGAAAGCATTATCGGTGGCGAAGGGTTGGACAAATAGATATGTTCGAATGGGGCGTGGTTGCTGAACTTTTGCAACTTGCTTTGCTGCTGAGATTTTTCTAAAAGTTGAGCCGAAGTAAAATTCAGCGCCATGTAAGGGGTGGAGAATATCTGTCGACGGTGCTATTTTGCATGTAACGGAAACTGTCATTCCTCTCACTAATGCGAAGATTTTACAGAGCTGTGCTTTGATCATTAGAAGTGTCCCACGGAGTCTTAAATGCTTTCACATGCTGTAGAACAACACAGCAAGAAGCGGTGCGAGTGGTGTGACGGAGAAGCTGGCAGCATCCGCGGTGATTTCGTCCGTGTTACAGTTGTCCGATTCACATGCACACAGCACCTCTTCGTACTCGTTGTGCATCCATTTTCGAGAACAACCTAGCTGAACCTGAAAATCAACAATGCAACAATGCACCTAAGTGATCTATAAGGCAGCTTTATAATCTAAAACATATCGAGCTGCTGAAAAGGAAATAGGAGGTTCAGCTCTTTTTCGGAACGCATTTTCGCGTAAAATTTTTGTAGTGATTATAAGATGTTAATAATATAACTCGAACCAGTGAACTGTCCGTAACATTAATACATCCTTGTTTTTCGGTGACAGTTTGAACCGTAGTACTCCTTCCCATTCCATGACTCAGATGGCGTTGAGAGGCGTAGGTGCAGAAGTGGCCTGTATTGTAGTAAACTTTTCCTTCCTTGTGAACTATAAATAAGTCAGATTTGTGACATTCCAATTACGCAGTTGGGCTAAGGAAAGCATTCTACAAAGCGTAGTGGACAATGGGCTACTTAAACTCTTCCTTCTTTTCTGTACTGTTTCACTTTCATATAGGTAAAGTTGCCGTGCTCAAGAGTTCTTGCATGTAGTTTTTTTGCAGAGTTGATTCAAATAATAGAACTTAACTAAGAGATTGCACCATCCAAAAGGCAAAAAAGTCTCTTATCCATAAATCAAGTTATATTCGGTGCTTAAAATACCAATCTTTCTAAGTACATTTTTAGAGGGCGCGTGTGGCGCAGTGGTCGGAGGCGCCACTCCGACACGCACGTGCAATCGATCTCCGCGCCTTGGCCCACCAAGCCTTCCATCTCTCCGGGGTCGGCAAATTGGTGCCAGACCTATCTGGAAGGATAGCAGCACTGGCTCGGTACATCGGTAGGCCACCGCGAGTCGTTGTAAAGGCCAGATATGCATTCAATCACTTCCAACGATACTTAATGAAGTCGAATGCGTGACGCATCCCTTAGAGACTGATCGATGCCGAGAGCTTTTTCTTTCTTAGCTTTACATTTTTAAAATCAATGTACTTTTCAGATTCACACCTGCCACTGATTGTTATTAAGTGGATCTCTACAAACAGCTGCCACTGCCAAAGACTCACCAACACATCTGTTTTGTTTACATGATGAGGTTACGGTAGCACCGTCGTGTGAATTTACTTCACAACTCACGCAACTCCTATATGGTAACAGTGGATCGGACGAGCTGAAGCGATTCAAATCTCATGGACTGTTTACTTTGTTACTGTAGTGCATTGTACCATATAAGTGACCATATGCATTGATACCAATGCACATTTTATTTTATTTATTTGCATTATATTTATATTTTATATATTTTATATTTTTCTTGCAAGGAAAACAGCTGAGTTTTGCTAAGGACAACATTTCCAGTTTGGAACTCATTTGTTTTAAGATTTTCCGGGTTTTCAACGTTTTGATTGGATGTCCTATTTCTAAAACCACTTAGGCCGTTTTAAGCCGCGATATAAAATTTAATGAGACTACTGTGAAGATGTAATACAGTTTGGTTGAAATGACAGAAAATTATAGAATGACAAGTCATTTACCCTTATTGGAATAGCATAGTAACAGAAAGTATTGTAACAGACCTAAGTGCTAAAGATCTTGACCGCAGTGAACTGTCTCTTGTCAGTGGAAATACAGGATAACGCAGTAGTGGCTTAATGAACCCGTTGCACATATTCGTATTGCAAATGCAGTGTTTATGAGGTTTTCCAGCCCCTCTGAATAAGTCATACTAAAAACACAGCTTTCAGAAGATGGACGAGTATAGAAAACAGCTGCTAACCGTGAAATCGTTACGCAGAGTTTATTTCTATAGTAGAGAAGCTCAGGTCCTTCGTAGAAAAACGGAAGAGACGGAGGTCCGAAACCACATCCTGATGCTCCAGTTGTACTGTCTTCGTGACACCTATTTAAAGAATAAAGTTAGTGTTAAGTAGAAACAGCCTTTGCTGTGTTTTTTAGGTTATTAAAAAGGCGAATAGAACACGCGTTTTTTACTAAGATGTCTTGCCTCACCAGCCTTATTCAGTACCGCATGAGAAGTCGCCCGACAACAACTGCTACCAAATGCGAAGAAAGCGTCAAAAGAAACCTTTGCTAATAAAAGAAAAGAAAAAATGCTGCCTTATCACAGAATAAAGGGGGCACATTTTAATCCTTCATTTACGTTTCTTTCCTTCTTCCAATCGATGCAAAAACCGTGGCTTTTCGTCACCACTCGAAGAACTAATGAATACAAAGTACTTTCTTCATATATACTCATTTGCTACTCCCCGGATGGTACAATAGCGCGTTCGTTCCCCACCGCATACACCTGCGGTCCGGAGTTTTGCAAATATCTCAGCATTATATACGAGTTATATTTCGCAACATACCCAGCCATTAAAGAGAAAAAGGTAGTAAATAAAAGGGTTAAGATTATACTCATTTTATTTTTTGAATTTTACATGACCCGTCATCACATCTACTGTGCCGATCTCAGCAATTGTTGCATTTGATTCCTCGAAATCATCGTGCACAGTGGTCCTCGAACATTTCGCTTATTGTTTGCGGCCGCTGCTTGAGAATTTTGCCTTCTTCAAGAATGTAGTAAAATGCTGATTGAGTCAATTCTCCTTACAATCTTGTAGGTAGCCAGGTCAAGGCGTTCCCACATGGCCTGGAGGAGGGCGTTCGGAGGGGGTCGAACTAGAGCCTTTGCTTCCTGCTTCTGCTTCCTGATCGACAGGAAAAAACACTGGAAAACCCGCTGCAGTTGAACCTATATGACAGGTGCTTTCAGCGCCGTTGAAGTAACCAATGCATATCGTAAAAATAGAGCTTTCTTAAGAGAAAGTTACTGAGCTAAGGTTTACAAAATCTATAGTACGTTATTTCAAACACGAACCACTGTCCTTGACATTTGTGATGGCAGTTCGGATCTCGTTCACTACACATTCGACACGTTACATTTCGTCGGAGAACAGTTCGAATGAAGATGTGATCATTGCAAAAAGGACCTGATATCAACAAAACTTGGCATAGATGCTTACGACATCCAGTTTTTTTTTTAAGACAAAGGACGTTGGATAACTTCTTAAAGCAGAATAGAGCTCTCCCCTACTGGGAATTTAGGGCGATTTGAAACCGATCGACCAGAGGCCAAATGGCAGTGTTTATTAGCCAGTTAACGACATGTCGGATATCCTAACGTATGCATGAATGCCACTCACGTACATCTATGAACAATTAAACGTTTTTTCAACTATATAGGAAAAACTCCACAGTAAGAGTTTAGGAGACCAACCAACTTTGAGAAGAACAGTAGAGGACAGATGTTAAACATCTGCGTAACGGATGAGAGGAAGAGAAAAAAATAGAGAAGAGCTTAATACGCGGTAAGAAAAATAAGTCATAAAGTATTTGGCGTCGATCAACCTCTTAGAGTTGTGTCATGCATACGTCTCCTTAAACATCGTGGAAGTGAGTGAAGGCGTATCTGCTTCCACAATGGCTTGCAGAGGACATCCGTTGCAGGAAGAAGTGTAAAGTCAGATATAATCAGAGGAAAAAATCTGCACAGAAACACGAAGAAAGAAAATTGAATGGGTAATATGGGAGAGACAATATTCTGGAAGATTTTTTAACACACAGCTGAATATAGCTCAAGGGTCAGAGGTGCTCTTCTAGCCTTAATTTCGTCATTGGCTCATTCCTAGTTTCCGGAATAATTAAACTCTTTATCCCTCCGGACTTGACAAATTGCAACTAGAAGGATATAAAACTTTTTTACTTCATATAACAGTGGAGTATAACACTCTCCAGCATTATAAAAGGATAAAGCTATTGCCGCTGATCAAACCCTGAGGGATACGCCATGCATTCGACTTCATTAAGCATCGTTAGAGGTGATTGTATGCATATCTGGCCTTTACAATGACTCGCAGTGACCTACCGATGTATCGAGCCGGTGTTGCTATCCTCCCAGACAAGTCTGTTACCAATTTGCCGACCCCGGAGGGATGGGAGGCTTGGTGGGTCATGGGCACGGGGATCGATTCCACGTGTGTATCGCAGTGGCGCCTCCAACACGCGGCGCGCCAGCATTATGGAGGTCATATATACGTCTGGTCACCTCTGCAATATTAGGAATGGCGACGAATGCATGGTGGATCTCTAGCGGACTGATTATGGCCGAGCCCTTTGTTCCTAATGTTTCTGTAAGATATTGAGCACTCTCCCAAGTCTTTTTTTCTTTTATTTTAATTTGTTACATCGATATCTATTCACGTTTTTCATCACTCCTCTTTAAGTGGACTATTAGATTGCTACTGGATTCACTGCACGCACCCTTATATTTGACCACAGTTGTTGAAAAAAGAAGCAAAACAGAAGCTCTTAATTTATTAGCACTGAATATCCATTTCTTTTAGATCAGAGGTAAGATACAGGGCGCACATAGTACCTGGTTCCCCGTGTGCCAGCGACCGGCATCACCTCATCTACCCGATGTATGTTGCCATTTAACCCTATCAGGCAAAAGTACTCGCAGTGCAGTTGTTATTTTACGAAGATCTGCGTGTAAAAAACGTGTTTCGGAAGGATTGCTGGTCATCGATACAAAGTGGCTTCTGTGAAGGTCATTAAATTCGTTAGCGTAAAGTCATATTTTCGCTGTTCTTTTTCCAATTTCCTATAAAAACTATAAATTCAATTATGGCTATTATCATCTGCACACTGTTGATTGCGTTTTCATATAAACGGATTTCCTTGCTGTTGGTGAGCGATTTCAGTTCAATAACCAGAATTCGGAAGAGGAAACCGCTCCCCATCTTTATAGTCTGGGCCTTTTTCCGGAAAACGCTACACAAGACGTCGTGTGAAAATTAAATACACTGGAAAGTAGATGATGTAGGAATGACAGTTTAATTCGCTTGCATTTTGTGAAACAGTGGTCAACCAACCCCCCCCCCCCCCCCCCCCCCCCCCCCCCTCTCCCGTGGTAAGAATGGATTCAAAAGTGATCAAGTGATGAACGAGCATTTTGATTACAATAAAAGGATAAAGCATTCGGCGTTGACAAATCCCTGAGGGATTTTGTGGACTTCGTCAAACATCGTTAGAAGTTATTGAATGGATATCTGGCCTATAGAATGACTTGCGGTGGCTTATCGAATGTATCAAGTGTTTTCGCTCTCGCAAACAAAGATGACGCCAATTTGCAGACCCCGATGGCTTGGTAGGCCAAGTCCGTGGTCAAACCAGCGAGCGTTCCAGTGTGCTGCAAGGCACATTGACTACTTCGCTCTACGTACCCATGCAATATAATAGTGAACCTTTGTTTGATGGGGTATGAATTACATGAAGTGATTTTCTCAAGCTTAGCTAGTATTTCAGGTTCGTGATCAAAAAAGCGCAAATTCAATGAGTGATATCGAAGATGGCAACCATGGAAAAATGTCCATTGGGAAATATGGAAGAACTTGGAATCATCTTCGTTCGTCTGACTTCCTGCAGTATCACACTATGCTCGATCGTGCTTTAACCACACAAGATGAGTTTTGCAAAGAAATGTTGAAAAGGAAATTCTCTTCAGTCACTCCCATGTTCGACTTTCTATTAACCTCGGCATTGATTCAGTGATGTCGGGTTTTACTTAAAAATACCAATGGGTGATCAGTGGAAGCTAAGAATACTGAAGAAGTGATAGGGGTTTAGTGCCGTCTTTAATTCAAACAGTGTTCATATTTAAAGACTTCACCTATTTTTTTCTCTAAATAGTTGTTTTAAAGAAAAGAAAAAACTCTGACCTTGACAAACACACAGTACATGGTCAGAAAAGTGCTCATATTCACATCCTGGAAGAGTTCTTGGAGACTTTCGAAGGCAACCTGGAAGTTTGGAGAACAGCAATGATCGCCTGACTGAAGTTTGTGTTTAACTGGTTGTTGGCTTTGCAGCTATTAACTTTCTGACAAATTTTAGTGACTTATCGCTCCAGCCTAACTGAATGGTCCTTTCGGATGTCATATCGTCCTGTTATTCGCAGTTTTACTCCATTGTGGACTCATCCAAACTAAGAAATATTTCGATCCGAAAGGGTTTCATCAGTTATTCCACAAACCGGATTTAACAATATAACGCCCAAGGTGCATTGACTAGAATGTTTTAGGCGAAAATTATCCCTTTCTCAATTTAAACTGCTATATCTCATCTCCTTGCACTCGACAGGGAAAAGTGGAAAATTTACTGGCGTCCGCTCGAGTCCACTCGACGATGACCGGGACTATAGCTGATACAGTTGTTATCTCATCTCACGTTGCACATTTTCAAGCCTTTGACAACGACGTTCCGACTTTCTGGAGCTTCTGACAGATAACTGTTCCATATTTTTTGCGTCAGGACTCCTACTTCGAACATGGTACCATACGAACAAGTGGGATTACATCCAGCAATCCAGCAGAAAACCATGACGTGCCAATGGGCATTAGTAGATGCTTGCGGCTGAAGCTCTTTCGTAGAAAACTTCAAAACTGTGAACGTCGTTTTTAGTTCTTTCGAGAATTTTCATTCAAGATGAACGCGAATTAACGAAATATTTTGTAAAAATTGTATAGCGCTCCTCAAATACTTTATCCTTTATTTACAGCCTTTCTTTTTTATAGCAGGCTACGATACGAAATGCAATGACAAAGGTGTTGAGATGAGAGTAAAAAATACCGCTGAGCAGAAAGCAGTTTCACTCCCGTTGACAGGTGGTTGCTGGTAGCACTGACAGAGTGACATCAGAGCTGAGAAAAAGGTAAAGCAAGGGCACCCGGTTTGTGTGCATAGCATTTGAGACCCCGGAAAGAGTAATAGCAGGTTCGCAGCCTACTAGAGCTTACGAGTTTTGCTCATATCTCAATATCCTTCAGTTTGTATTCCTCAAATGTTTTAATGGTCGAGAAGTTATTGTCCCTCGTCGGGAAATCGCCGGCTTCGCGCGTTATGTATCAAACCAATTTTGGTTACACTTTATAGAAATGTCTTCTTTTCAATAATGAACCATAATTTCCAAGTCCTTATTCAGTTCAAAATTTCTTCTACCTGTAAATAACCCTTCTTTTAATCTTAACCACTTTTTCGTTCATTATTCTGAGTGTAGCGCTATTCTTCTCTACTATACTCTTTTTGGATGCACGGAAACCATCCTAGTTTTCACGATAATCTTCGAGATAACCATCACTGAAGTAAGGATCTCGTATCACAAAAAATAGGGAAACTACATCCGAAGAAAGTTCGCTTGCAGATCTGCAGCTAGTCTGTCCCTCATGTCTCGCCGGCTCCTGTTGCGCAAATCTTATTGTGACGCCTCACTGAAATTCACGGATTGCTTAATGCACATTGTAATGCTTTGTTGCACGACAGCATATTAATTATTATAGCTGTGTACAAACAAACAGCAGCTGGTCGACCAGGTGCTGATGGGGTGGTCTGGGCTTTTGTTCGCCGACGGCCAACAACAATATCAAGTATAATTGCCACAATTGACTAACTAGTAGCTGCTCACCTTTTGTTATTCGAAAAATTCCACGATCCTCGGTCGGTTTTTTCTCGATGAAGCACTGATTTGATGGACAAGAACCCATCTGAAATCACATGGCGATAATGATGATGACGTACGAAAATCATCGGCGAGAAATGACCAACGAATGGCACGTCATTTGCTTTAGCCTCAGCTGTCCTTCTTCCGGTCATGCTTCTAACAAGCTTCATTGCTCACGCACCGCACTTCCGGCTTGAGAAGTCATTATCGACTGGTCCCAAAATTTTATGACAACAACATCAAGCATGTAAAGTTGACGCTATGATTTAAAACATTTTAGTTCGTTGTATTTCCATTTTTTCCTTTTCTCTGGATAGAGGATAATAGAAGAGTGGTTAGCGATGCACACTTCATTAGAAGCGGCTAGATGAAGTCTTCAACGCTCTTATGAGTCAGAAGGTTTATACTGATCTCGCGTAAGCAAAATAAGGGCAGTTCGTAAAACATATATATAGATGGCTCTTATGGGTGATTTTCCAGAGAGATTGTCGCCTACCCATCCTTAGTCTTAAAATCCGAGAAATAGTTAAAAGTTCCCTATAATAATGGTGCAATTTTTTCCCTTGTCAGTGTAAAAATAAAATTCTCGAAATTTCTATGGGACAATAATCATCATGAAATTTCGGATAGACAAAAAGCTTCGGCCTAAACCATCAATCAAATGACGGAAATGATAGGTCAGCCGAAATTGAGGATGGAAAATAAAGTGAAATATGTGTTCATAAGTGGGGCAATTGAAGTTTGGAGTTCAAAAAATCGACTAGGCTCTGTTTTCTTTTCAATGATGCTGAGATATTTTTAAAACTCCGGACCACAGGTGTCTGCAGTGGGAAACGAATGCGCCACTGTCCTTTCTGTGTAGTAACGCGTTCACCACCACACCATGCAGGTCCTTCGTTTCGCCGGTCTCTCAGCTAGTTCTATCGAACTTTTGCCATCAGCAATCACCCGTCAGCGGGTTTGATCTGAGGAGCCCAAATCGGCAACGAAACCAGTTAAACGAAGGACTCGGATGATGTGGTGGTGTACGCGTTACTCCCCGGAAAGGACAATAGCGCGTTCGTTCCCCACTGCAGACACCTGCGGTCCGGACTTTTGCAAACATCTCGGCATTATTGAAGTTATATTTCGCAATATATACTCTGCCGTCAAAAAGGGTAGGCAGTAAATAATAGGTTAAAATGTTTTTTCTTTTTCTTTCTGAAAAAATTATTGCGGGAAAAATGGCGACGCGACCCCGAAGCATTAGAAACGAATGAATGGGTTTGAGGGACACTTCCCCTTTGAAATAGTTCAGAAACGCATTTCAAGGAAACTGGCTGTGACAACCGTTGTCGTTCAGTCATTCATCGAGACTAGAGGGCTACGGGATTGATCCAGAGGAGTTTTTGGTTTGCACAATATCCTTGAGCTAGCTAGTATCTCATTGAAATAAATAAATCTAAGATTGAATAATAGTGAACCAACAAAAAAAAACCAACTACCATGATATGACGTCATATTAATCAAAATTTTCCTCAATTACATTATTGAACAACTGATTTTTAGTTCTTTTTCCTTCGTTCTTCTCTCAAGTCGGTTTGAACTTTTTATTAACTGGAACTAGCAAGCATCATTGCCCAGCTTTTTCTCAGTTCGCTGGAATATATTGGAAAAGATTTTTCCTGTAAGATTTTTCCCTTTTCTAACCGCCTGCCTACAGACCACATTTTCTAAGTTCTCTCTATCGTCTACTTTATACTAAAGCTTAATTGAAAAATCTATAATATGAATGTTGATGAAATCTTCTGTTTAGGCTGTTGCTTTTATTTGCTTCTGATTATTGTGAAGTGAACAATAGTGCTGATCTCCATATGGATACTGTAAGTAGTCACCTGACAATTACACGGTTCACTATGACAGGTACCAGAGCATGAATAGCAGTGCTGAGCTGAGCAGTTGCCGATCAGGAACATCAGCGAACAGCACAGTAGCACTAGAAACCTCATCACCACCCACCCAACATCTGTAACATATGCTCTTCGTTCATCTTCTTCCTTTTGCTGCATTGCAATCATACGTCCAATGATCAACACAAAAGAGAAATGAAAGTGAGTATGATATATAATACGCAACAGAAACACTACTAACAATGTAGAATGTGATATAGAGGACAAAGGAAAATGAGCAATACATTGTGCATTAAACATCATGCGTAACATCGTAGGGCTAATTGAATGCATATGTGGCTTGTACAAAACGAATTCCGAAAGCTGATCTATCAGGTTAGCATTTTAACGCTCTCAGATAGCACTGGATAACAACTTGCCAAACCCGGAATGATGGATGACGTTGTTTGCCTACGGTGCGGAATCGAAGTAATGGCCATGGGTGTATAGTACTACAAGCCTCATCACTGTGCTATTTATTTTGCTTTGTCCCCATGCTTGTCTGCTATCTAAAAGTGGTAAAAGTGGCTCAGCGGCTTGCTTCGGTTATCCCTACCAAGCGTTTGCTTCACAACAGTACCAATCATGCTTTCAAAACATGAGCATATCTCTGGAAGGGGAAGAACCAGATCAGAGCGAAACTCCTAAATCGCGCTTTTTCGTCACTCTACAGTTCTGAGAAGGTAAGCGTCCCCTTCGAATTGTAAGCGTTCCCTCTATCTGTGGCGAAGATGGAACACGGATTGTCTTTCAGAATTTTTTCAATTAGCATAGCTTCAATGAATATTCAATGCTTTCACACTCTCCTTTCATTAAACGGAAGCTTTACGTAACGAAAAAAATTACAAAATTTTTTGTAACTGCATGAAGGGTGACAGAGGTATATTACGAAACTGCATGTCTTAAAGAATTTCTTGGCTCGTTTCCCAGTATTAATGGAATAGTCGCTGAGGATCAAAAAAGTGATTTGTGCTGGCTCTAAAAAGTCTTAATATCTCGAAGAATTACCTGAATTACACTTTGGGACAAGAAAACCCATGGTGGACCAAATCTCTAGAAGGATCATCGATGGTGAAAAACAAGCAAATACGCAACATAAAAAATAAAGCGCTCGTCGTTGATCAATCTCTACGAGATATTCCATGAATTCGCACTCATCAAGTATCGTCAGGAGTGATTCAGTGCACATCTTTTCCCTTCAAGGTCTTTTGATGGCTTACCAATGAGATCGGTGTTTTTCTCCTTCCAAACAAGTCTGTTACCAGTTTGCGGATCCGGAAGGAAGGACGTAAGGTTTGATGGGCCTAGTATACGCCATCGAACCCGCGACAAATCCAGTGTGCATTGAAGGACACCATTACGCCACGTGGGGCCCTATTAAAACAATGCTGCAGAAATCTCAAAAGTAGTATTTTTAAGGAAATTATAATTCTGCTCAATAGTAGAAGGCAGTGGTGCGATATATTGGACAATAATTGGGCGCATTCATAAAGTCTTAGTCTTACTATCGTTTCCGGCCCAGTACACTTCACCAATTCCACTATAACACACAGTAAGATTCCAGTCTCTGTTAGAGCAATAAAAAAGACTTTAGTGCTTAACAACGCCTTAAAACGAGAAAATTATCTCTAACCGAATTTATTTCTTGTTGACTTCCTACCAACTAACGACAACAACATCCTGTGTTTGTTGTCCACACAGTGTCGCATTCAAATGGAGAGCAACTGCTTAGCTAGTAGTGAGTCTAAACTAAAATCTCTTTGAACAGCGAAGATGATTTGAAACAGCTCTATTATTAGAAACTGATGTGAAGTTCAATTTCGACACTCAATGGCACCATACCGGTGCGAATCCCGAGTTTTTTGTTGAAGCTTAATGTGTAGAATACATCCAACCCTATAAAGGGTTCAGCTGCTCACCTAAAATGCAAACGTTTACAAATCTGAAGAGATTTGCCTATAAAATCGTTTATCATTCGTTTCGTGCTTCAGAAACTATCAAAACATATCGCACAACGTCGGAGCAGACTCCATTCCGTCAACGCTGATCGATCACGTTGTGTGTGCTTCTTACACAAAAACACTCGCCGATTACAATTCTTTTCAGAGCTCCTCTAGGTTCTCGATCATCAATATGGGGAACCCGACAGGCTGTGAACGCTATAACGTTCTGCGTTGCTTTAGAAAATTTTCTTTTTCTCTGTTATTATCATAACTTCCAAGAGTACCATCAAAGCAAACGACCAGCTGTCCACAAATCATCATCATTTGACTAACGATGACCCTCTTTATAAAGAAAAGCTAGATCTAAAGCCAG